ATATATATATATATATATAATTTATATATATATATATATCTATATATTATATTATATTACTCTCGTTTCTTGTATACTTTTTACTTTGTTTATTTTATTCATTACCTTCCCCTTACCTATGGCCATGTCCATTAAGAAAAGTTCGTTAACCTTTGTGTTCAAAAGCCAAAGAGACAATTGACGTAATGTGGCCTAATAAAAGCATATTGATGCATTCATGGCCAATTACAATATACTGACTTAATTTGTTTGTTGTTTTTGTTTCTAAATTTCAATACATTGCAACAATTATATTCCACATTCCCACAATACCGTGGCAATCCACCAGTTAAAACTATATATTTCGTGTTTTTTTGTTTGCTCATCAACTGCGTCGATTTTATGTCATGTACATAATTTTATGTACATTATACAAGGAGTATCTATAAGTGTTTGGTGCATAGCACAACACCGGCTCAAGACACGTCGGAATGTAGTCGCAAGATAGGGTAATAAAACACGGGTGCGCAACTTTCCCCTCCCCCATTGTAACATTTCGAAATTCTTGCTCTTGTTTAATTTTAGACCTTTGATTCATTTGTATCAGTCTTTTTAATGACATTGTAGCCGTTGCGTATCTGAGACGTCTGGCTAGGTGTGCGCGTCGTACCCGTTACGTTTGACGTCGTCTTCGGAACGATGGTGTGGTCTGGTCGCCGCCGTGACATTGGGCATTTCTTGTGAAAGATCGTTCCCAGTTCTTTTCTGAACACGGGACTGAGAGCAAAGTAAACTATTGTATTGATGACACAGTTGAACATTGCTACTCCTTCGAGAATGGAATATACTGGTACGTGATTGGAGAACTCCGAGTCGAGATTATATTGAAAGTGGAAAGCCTGCAAGAGGTTGTAAACGTGCCACGGTGCCCAGCATATACCGAAGGCAACGACCACGGTAATTAGCATTGGTATGGTCTTCTGTTTCCTGATGGATGTTATTTCACGCTGGCGTTCGGATGTTACGTAGCCTGGTGGCGCTCTGTGCAACCACAGCTGGAGTGCGATGCGCACATAAATGAAGGACATAATCAACATTGGAATCAAAAATTCGAATACGGCAATGAACATTAAATACGATGGCATGGCGTACGGATGTGTGTCCTTCCAGTATTCGACACATGATACGACTTCCCTTTTGGTTTTGCAATCCCAACCGCTTTCAGTTTTAGCGTATAGAAGTGTCGGGATGCATACCAGGAAAGAGACAACCCAAATTAGAACGATGATCAAAGACAGAGTGGACTTCCTCATTCGTGGCCTTAGTGGATGAAATATTCCATGATATCTATAAAAAGAAAAATGAAACTATAAACATTAATCGATATTCTAATTGTAATTATATTGACGATAATCATGATATTAAAGTGGTTTTTTACGTGCATGGTTACGGTACTTGACTTGATACATCTGATTATCCACAATAACTCCCATTCAGCAATGCATGATGTCTAATCACAAAATCACAAAGATTAACACAGATACATTGTTATTGAATCATCCACTTCCACTACAAAGAGGTGCATTCTCCCTGTATGCGAATTTTAAGTTTGAATGGGTCTTCCGAACCGATCAGAAAGTCGGATCAAGGCTAGACTCATTGCTTTATGGTTTGCCAGCTAAGGATATTTCAAAACTTCAGCGAGTTCAGAATGCAGCTGCCCGCTTGGTTTCTTTAAGCCCCGGCCGATTAGGGAACATACCACACCTGTGTTAAGGCACCTTCATTGGCTTCCTGTAACACAGCAAATCACTTTTAAGATTTTATTTATTTTTTAAATCTCTTCATAATTCCTCGCCAATGTTTATTTCGCAACTAATTCATCCTTATATTCCTAAGAGGTCTCTGAGATCTAGTTCAGATTCTCTACTAGCTCATTCTATTCGCCCGTCAACAAAGCATTATGGCAATCGTTCTTTTTCTTGGGCTTCTGTCTTCCTTTGGAATGCTTTGCCTATTACAATCCGACAGGCAACCTCCATTGTTGATTTTAAGGCATCTTTAAAAACTGACCTTTTTAACATGTACTTTTCTTAAATTTCTTCTAGCATTTTTATTCGTATTGTTAAGCGCATTGAGGCTATGCGCTATATAAGCCAAAATTATTATTATTATTATTATTAAGAATAGGGACGCTGGCGTTCAGCGTATCGGAGGAAAAGCGGTTTGAATTTTGGTTCGGATCCAATGTGAATGCAACTTAAAGATGATCGATTCGGACTCATGACATTCAGAAACACAAGGGCCACTCTGTCATATAGGCCTTCTGCTAAGCCCGCGCCCTGTAGTTGCTAAATTCCCACAAAACGACAATGTGAACACAACACAAACACGCGCGTTTGTGAAACAACACGTGTGTGCGTGGGGGGGTGGGGGGGGGGGGGGGGGGGGGTGTGGGTGGGTGTGTGTGTGTGTGTGATTATTGCCTATTTCCAAATTTCTCAAATTATTTTATGTTTTGTTTTGTTTTTTCAGGTTTCAGGGTAAATATTTTTGACAAGCATAATTACACCTAATAATGGATCATGCCTTCGGATAGAAAAAATAAAATTGACGTAAAGAACTGAGTAGAAGTAGAAGTTGATCAACAGGCTACGTAAAGTATATAAAGAAATATTTTTATATTTGATAGTATGTGTGGGCAAATGTAACGTTCCCTGAGAAATTGTTTTAATTGTACTAATGATTTTTTTTTTGTACATATGGTTTTCTCTTGTGATATATCTTCCCTTATAGCAAAATTATGTCCACCCTATAGTGGCTACAGTAGCTAACCACACGAAATATCGCCGTTTTCGATAGAAATACGAAACATCCAAAAATGAATACCGTATCTTTATTTGCGAGTGTGCGTATCAGTCCCGTCACGCGTAATTTGTCGTACAGGATCTCGTTCGTAATTGGTCTTACCTTCATTCTACGTATTCACTTGTGACGTAAGAGTTATGCGGATTTTAAGGGCCCTGGCATATTCATCGTTTATTTTCTCCAAAATGGACCGGGTTCCTCTAAGGACAAAAAGGTCTAAAAAGACATCAAAACACGCCCTTGAAACGTCAAAGAAGCCGAAGCGAATGGGGCTTTGTACTGAACTCCACTGAGCTCTACCGAACCGATACTCCAAATTACTAGGGCCCGTAGCTTCATAGCCAAGGTACGCCACTTGTACGGTCTTATTCCCACCGTGCGTAGCTATAACTCTCACACTATCAAGAAACCTACACTGCGATCGGTACACGACCGGCACCGTCGTGGCCATAGTAGCTTGCTCGTGACAAGGCAAAGGTCGTGCGTGGTCGCGGAGTTTTCAACATGTTGAAAAATGTATTGTGGTCGGTACTGGTCGTCAGTCTAATCGTAGTCGCTCTCACACGTGTCGTAATCATTTGGCTGAAGTGGCCACCAATAAATGACAACAGGGCAGGTCGGTACGGTCGCAGTGCTAGGTCGCGATAATAATTATGAGAGTTGCTTTAGTTTGTTATCTCCATCGCACGTAGCCTCTCCCTTTGTATATTATTCACAAGTATTCGGTCGGGATCTGTCCCGCGCATAGTTCGTATCTACACAATATTGTAGGCCTACATTGTATCACATCTAAAACCACAGTAGCTTAGCTCTATTATTGTTAATTATGATTATTGCGTGGAAATACTACTAAAAGAAACTATTAATGCCACTACACCAAATCCATTTTAAGTATTTTATCTATCTGACCTTGGGGATCTCTATAGCAATTTAATTTTTTTAATAGTCTATAATATTATTACATATATTTTTTCAGGTTACCTTGTTTATGTTTCGGGCGTAGCCATTTTTCCAATAGGCCTATCCATTGTGAAGTATATTTAGTGTTTTGTTCATTGTGTACTTCAAACGAATAATGTATTAAGCCAAGTAATATTTTATCTATTTGTGCCGACAATGTTATGTAGGTGCGACCCCAAATTAAAATTTCAATTTTTGGCTGTCTTTCCATGTATCCTTTGTTTGTATGTTTTTTTGTTTGGTATTCAAATTGATAAGCATGCGCTTCTTCATGATGCCTATGACAATTATGTAATTTGTGAATAAATGTTGAAATAGAATAGATTGATACATTCTACACTGGTTTATATAGTATGCAATACATGTTACGCATCCAGTGGCAGATCCAGGAATTCAAAATTGAGGGACCACGGAGGTACTTGCTCAGATGGAGGATCTATACCACCTCAGCCTCACCACAGACGGGGGCTGAGGTAAGAAAACTTGTAATTATGGCAACTCTAGATGGCCGGAAATTGAGGTCTCAAAATTAATATTTAAATATAATTTCCTTTATATCTCCATTTAAAAAAAAAATTGATTCAATTTAAGTGGTGCCTGGACAGGCTTGGTCAATTGAATCCGTCACTGGAACTGCCTGGAGAGCCCGCGGAGTGCAACTCCAAGAATGTATTAGGTTTACCAATATGTTTAGCTGGTAGAACATTCATAAAATAGTAAGAAATATTTGATGTGAATAAATTTTGGACAAGAATCCTTCTTTTAAAAGATAGCCTATCTTAATGCCATAGGTTTAAACTTGTATTGATGTACTTGTGTTGATATACATTCATGTTTGATGAAACATGTGTGGAAAAAAAATAATAATAATTTAAGTTATTTTTGTGACGAGTAACACATTGAGTAAATTTGAATTGAAATTAAAATAAATTTTACTCAACCATAATACTTTTTTACTTGCAATGGACCCTAAAATGTAAGTATGTTTTACGAACAATACATCCATGTACTGTACTGATTGGAGTACAACATTGATTGCGCGAGTCTATATATTTTGGTGATATTACAGTGTATAGCCTAACCGTGTAAGTGCCAGCTGTGCTGAGAATATAGGCCTGTAGAGCGCACACGATAGGACAATTTTAGAATTAATATTACAGGCAGAGATTGAACGAAAACGAAAACTAAAACAAAGCCTTGTCTAAAGCAATCGGATATTAAAGTATTCATGTAATTAGGCACATGGGGCAAAGATTGCCAAGAGGTAACATCAACGATCAATGTAGTGAAGTCACAAATCCCTCTTTCACTAACAGAATACAGTGCCCTGTACAGACATTTTGGTCATGAACGAACAGGACAGGAAGTGATCAAGGTCATCAATACTTTGCAGTGTTCAAATATCTCGAAGCTTGCCAAAAAGCGTAAATCGACAGAAATAACGATAGAAATAAAAATCGATAATTTGAATTGTCATCATTTAAAGGAATGATGACATAATGATTTAGAGAAACAGTTGATGTGAACTCCCATACTTGTAGGGATAGTTGTTTGTGTCATGTCTAGGTCTCACCCCTAAGAATGATGCTAGCTTACTCGATCATTTTACGGGTAATATACCACTTGAGGAGGTTAAACAATTTCTTAACATCCCGATCGTTACGGCATCTGAATCTCAATTATTGATCGATTACTGGCCTGACACAAACAACTATCCCTACAAGTATGGGAGTTCACTTCAATTTAGAAAGTAAGATGGGCTAACTTTAGTCATTTTACATTTTATATTATAAATAAATTTGGAAAATAAATAAATAAATAATAAAACAAATTAAAATATTAAATAATAATAATAATAATAATAATTATAATAATAATATTAATATTAATAATAATAATAATAATAAATAATAATAATAATAATAATAATAAATAATAAATAATAATAATAAATAATAAATAATAATAATAATAAATAATAATAATAATAAATAATAATAATAATAATTAATAATAATAATTAATAATAATAATAATAAAAAATAATAATAATAATAAAAAATAATAATAATAATAAAAAATAATAATAATAATAATAAAAAATAATCATTTTCACGGAAACTAAAGTTTCAGCGAGTCTGTCCTGCATGATAGTTGCAAAATCGTCAATTATGATGGCGGCGGCAGCTGGGCAAGAAGGAGAAGAAGATCGAAAGGTGTAAACTCTGATCCTGGAATAATACTGTTAGAGAATACAAAACAAACTCATCTCACTACGCATTACAGATGGAATATTCAATATCTAGATATATGCTCAAATTAAGCCTAATTTCAATAACAATGACAAATGGATTTTCCTCGCTACCAAACACATGCGAAATACGCAAGTAGACCTAAACTGTCAAACATCATGGAATAATAGAAACACAATTCCGTTGCTGCTCATATTTTTGCTCATTAATCAAAGTATCTTAACATATTTAATTAGTTTTCGTTGGCGGTCTTTCTTTTTAGCGAGA